GGATAAGTAGAATTCCTGCTTCTTCTTACAAAACCGTCAAAGGTGTTTTTCTTGATGGTTTCGATGAAACAAACATAAATGGAAAGAAGAGAAGGTAGAGAAGCCAAATGATTGGATCGACGATGTTGATAGTAAGATTTCGATGTGTTCTATCGAATTGCATCCATCAAATAATATTTTAATGAGTATGTAGCAAAGAGGTAGAATTTAGCGCAAGCAAGACGACGGAATCGGCCTATACTGGTGAGAATGCGGTCATATGCGAAGGCGGTTTCATACTGGGTAAACAGGGTAATAAATATAGATAGAAAAAATTCTACGAAAAATGAAACGACATACCTCTGCCCATACTTGTCCTTCACTTCGGTTAAACGGAGCATCTCTAAACTTCGAATTCCAGATCAAGCTAGCAGCAGATCTTGCCACCAAATACGAGTAATACTTTGCTCCATACTGTACCAAGTGATGGAACCTAGAAATAAATGCTGATAAACGCGTAAGCTACCAACATAAACACTAAAAGGCGCACGTACCTGTGTTGGAAAGCTGTGTCCTTTTCGCGCTCCAGATGGGGAAGTGCCTAGATATAAAATTTTGTTAAAATCATGAGTCTACAATTTTGTCGAGTAAAAATGTACCTTTGTAACGATTGTATGAAAGAGGTTAGTAGTTGTTATGCGATTTTCTCGCAGAAGACGGGCAGCATCTGGACCATGCAGCTCCAAGTCAAATAAAGCATAAGTTGCCTAAATTTGATTATAAAATATTATGAATGGAACACAGTAAAACATGAAAGAAAAGCTTAGAGAATTAACAAGAGATTTTTGATAAACAAGAAACAAAAAACTATGAATTTGTAAGCTAATTCTATGTGTAATGTATAATGCTAGCTTCAGAGAGATGGCATTTACCTGTTGCATGATTTCTAACGAAGAGAAAGCAAATCGAGAGGCGATCATGCAAGCAGCATCTTCTACACTTATACATTCGCCATTTGGACTACGGAGTATATTCTGCATGATCTAAAATTGCATATAATTTTAGAAAAACGCTATTAAAAAACCAGACGATCTGGAAAATCGGATGAAAAACAACAAAACACAATAAAGTCCTAAAAAAA